GATTTCACATTGCATGCCTATATCAAAATATCTCATGTACCCCATAAATACACACACCTGCTATGTACTGACAATTTTTTTTATAAATAAAAAATTTGATGTGGGGGGAGGGGCTCTTCTAGAATAAAAGAGATATAATGAACATGACAAATACACAAGCAGTCTCATAAATACACTGGATTCTGATTTGGAAAAAAAAAGGCATGAAGTTATTTAGATAAATTAAAAAATTTGAAATATAAAATGTGTATAAGATAGTATTAGGGACTGCTGCTGATTTGTTAGTTGTGATTATGTATGAGAATGTCTTCACTTTTTTTAGATGGATGCCTAAGTGTTTAAGGGTAAAAATTAAAAAGTTTATATTTGTAAAGGCTCCAACCACAAAATACATACATAAACAGAGATGAAGTAAATATAGCAATTATTTACAAATTTAAATTTAATGTCTAGACTTTTTAGAATATAAGTTCAAATATATATAATTTAAAATAGTTTTGAAATCAATTACATGGGATACTCTTAAACATTGTATTTTGGTACAGTCAAGTTTTTCCTAGTAAATGGGCACTACCATATATTTGGAGAAAAGATATTGTAAGTGAAGTCTTTTCTCAGTTTGGTATCAAGAATATAGATAACATATTTGAATAGAAGAGTGTATTTAACTTATAGAGAGCCAAACTTTAAACATAAGATTCATTCTCTAGGTCAATGAATGATTGACAGAGAAAGGCAGAGAGAGAGAGACAGAGAGAGAATACCAATAAATACTATACATAAAGTACTTAATACATGTGCTTAAGTGTTTTGCATGCATTATCTCATTTCATCCTCACAATATCCTATGCAGCCATAAAAAGGAATGAGATAGTGTCCTATCCTTATTCATGTGTTCACTGAAGTAGCACTTTTCATTTTCTTCAAGAATTTTTCCTTTGCATTCACAATTTGCACAACAGGCCTACGTTTTGGCCTGTCTCAAACTCAACAGTTTGAGTTTGCTCAACAGGCCTATTTTGCACAACAGGCCTGCGTTTTGGCCTGTCTCAACTTTCAACATGCCTTCCTCACTAAACTTAATCATTTCTAGCTTTTGATTTAAAGTAAGAGATTTGCAACTCTTCTTTCACTTGAACTTAGAAGTCATTGTAGGGTTATTAATTGGCTTAATTTCAATATTATTTTGTCTCAGGGAATATGGAGACCCAAGGAGAGGGACAGAGATGGGAATGATTGGTTAGTGGAGCAGTCAGAACACACACAACATTTATTAAGTTCATCATCCTATATGGGCACGGTTCATGGCTCCCCAAAACAATTACAATAGTAACATCAAAGACCACTGAACACAGATTACTATAACAGATTAATAATAATGAAAAAGTTTGACATATTTCAAAAATTGCCAAAATGTAACACAGAGGCATGAAGTGAGCACACGCTGTTGGGAAAATGGTGCTGATAGACTTTTCTGAGTTAGGGTTGCTACAGTTATTTAATTTGTAAAAAACACAGTATCTGTGAAGCATAATAAAACAGAGTATGCCTGTGCTAACTAAGAAACTTACTATGTCAAAGCATTTCACGGGCAGGGGATAAAATGAGGCCCTGGGATGGAATGGTTGACCTAGGATCTCATTGCTGGAGCCCAACTTCAAACCAAGATCTGGTTGTATCTCCAGACTAAGCTCTTGGCCACAGTAGCCCCTGACCTGATCCTTTCTAATGTGAGAAACCAGAAGTCTACATAAAATTCCAAAACCTGCAACACAATTTGAAAGAAAAAAACTGCAAAAGTCAAGGAGAGTATCTGCGGATGTTGCAAATGATCCATTCTAAGACAAAAGCCTCTTGAGCTCTCTCTACATTTTGAAAGTTTGAAAATACTAAGTAGACTCCTCCAGCCAAGTTAATTCCTGCACATCAGCTGTAAATGTCAGCAAACACACCTTGCTTGGGATCCAACACGGGGGATGATGAGAACTCAGGCTATAGGGGCAGAGCCGTGTCCTGGGGAGGCTCAGTCACACTGAGAAGTGGGAATCTTCTGAGACAAGGGGAGCGTCTGGCCTGGAGGGTACATGACCCTATTTGTTTTTTAGTTTCTGATTGCTTTGTGACAAATTACTACACATTTAGTGGCTTAAAGCAATACTCAATACTCACTTATTAGTTCACAGTTCTGTAGGTCAGAAGTCCAGCAGGATATGTCTGGGTTCTCTGCTCAAACTGAAGTCGAAGTGTCAACCACTGTGTTCTCACCTGGGGCTTGGGGTCTCCCTCCAAGGTTATTCTTGTGATTGGCAGAATTCATTTCCTTTTGGCTGTGGGATTGAAGTCCCTGTTTCCTCTCTGGCTGTTGGCTGGGACCACTCTCAGCTCCTGGAGGCTGCCCACATTCCTCCTGTGGCCTCCATATTTAAGCCAGCAACAGTGCATCAGATCCTTCTCTGACTTCTGGCCAGGTGCAGTGACTCACGCCTGTAATCCCAGCACTTTGGGAGACCAAGGTGGGATGATCACCTGTGGTCAGGAGTTCAAGACCAGACTGGTCAACATGGTGAAACCCCTTTTCTACTTAAAAATACAAAAGTTAGCCAGGCATGGTGGCAAACGCCTGTAATCCCAGATATTTGGGAGGCTGAGGCAGGAGAATCATATGAACCTGGGAGGCAGAGGTTGCAGTGAGCTGAGATTGTGTCACTGCACTCCAGCCTGGGCAATGAAACAAGATTCTTCAAAAAAAAAAAAAAAAAAAAAAAAAAAAAAAAAGAATTCTCCGACTTCTGCTGCTACTGGCAGCCAAAGTAAACTCTGCTTTTAAAGGGTTCACCTGGCTGGGTCAGGCCCACTGGAATAACTTCTATATCTTAAGGTCAACTGACTTGGGACTTTACGTCTGCAAAATCCCCTCACAGCAGTACCTAGGTTAGTGTTTGGTGAGTAATCTGGGAATCTTGGGAGTCATCTTTGGAATCCTTCCCTCCATGGTTTTAGAGAGGTCAGTCTGGCCATAGTGTGGATAACGTATTGGGAGGGACAAGACAGACAGCAAGGGGGATCTACTAAAAGCTGTTGCAATCATCCTGAAAAACAGAGGAATGGGCTTTGGATGAGTGAGAAATGATTTAGACACAGCATAAAGACTTCTTGCTGACTGATTAGTTGTGGGAGGGAGGGGAGGGAGAGTCAAGGTGGACTCCCAGGTTTTGCCTCAAAAAACTGAGTAAGTGAAGTTGCCATCCACAAAGATACTATGGATAAACAGGTTTTGGAGTGAAAGATAATGAATTATTCCTCTTCATGTTGAGTTTGAAAGGAAGACAACCAAATGGATGATAAAAATGGGGGATCACTGGTTAACGCAGGGGTTCTCCAGTGGAGTGATTTGGCTCCACAGAGGACACTTGGCCATGTCTGAAGACATTTTTGGTTGCCATAATAGTGGAGGTGTTATCCACATTGAGCAGATAGAAAGCAGGAGTAAAAAATCCCACAACACACAGGACAGCAAAGATTTTGCTGAGGTTGACAAACCCTGAGTCAGAGGCCAGAAATTAAAGCCACAGGAGTGAAGAAGAGGGCCCAGAACAGAGGCCTGCAGAACCCCAGCCTCAGAGCAAGGGAAGCCAGCCCAGAGCCTGAGAAGAAGCCAGAGAAGGGGAGGCCAACCAGATGCACAGCGCTGAAAAGCAGGCAGAGAAAGAGGTGTTGATTCTGGCAGGTGTCAAGAGCTGCTGCGAGTCAAGCAAAATGAGGAGTAAAAAACCATCATTGGATTTAGGGTGACCGAGGCCACCAGAGGCTGTGCCTGAACAGTTTCAGTTGAGTCATGGGTGTGCACGGCTGTCTGCACTGAGTGAAGAGTGCACTCTTGAGAGAGGAGGTTGGGGCAGCAGCCACCGGAGACCAGGCTTCTGAAGACCTGGAGACACCTCAAAAGGGATGCGGGCTGAAGGGATTTGTTGCCATGGAGAGAACTGAGATCTGCAAATGCTGATGGGAAGGAGAAGAGAGAGGAGGAGATCACAGAGTGAGGCCCCTGAGAAAAGTGTGAGAACAGAACTAAGGGCACAATGTCTCTTCCAGGCCCTGCCCGCAAGTGCCCGCTAAGTGCTGCATCCCAGGTGTGCACCTGAGTCCCAGTCCTGCCCAGGAGAGACTGGCCTGATGATGGAGAAGGAGAAGAGGTGCCCCCAGCAACAGGTGTAGATGCAGCTGCAGGTGGGTTTGGCAGTTTGAAAGGCGGAATGCTGGGGAGACTTATCCTCCATGTAGGCAGCAGGGATCACTTTTGAAAATAAAGGAGAAAGAAATGGATCAGAGGCTTGAGGCGGTTGTGGAGGGCTGTTCTGTTTAGAGAACCCCAGCAGGACTCTCAGGCAGGGCACAGTCTTTTTCCTTGTTATTTCTTTCCCGAGATTTTTTTTTCTCTTGGAAAATTCTCATCAAAGTTCCGTGCAAGACCATTTAAGGGTTAACACATTTTCCCCCAAAATGACTGCAGTCCCTCTACTGAAATTCATCTTATGAGTCCAGTCTGTTGAAAGATAAGGAAACTATTACAGTGGAGATGGAAGATGGAAATTGGGCTCAGAGAGCAAAGAAGGGTGAAAAAGATATGGACATATATATCCATGGCACAAATTTTAATGATTTCTGTAAAGTATAATTGAGGGAAATTACAGGAAGTTTCATTTGATTTTCTTAGAGGTCCTGAAACTCACGAGTGTTACAGAGTTATAGTATTTACAGAAAGAACAGCTATTAAAATTCAAGAGAATTTGGAAGGAACTGACGTCCTTTTTTAAAATTCCTTTACATTGCAAAAGATGACCTAAGCTATTCTTTAAAATTCAACATCTCTGATTTTATTCTCACAGTAGTGCAGTTAACTGCAGATAACATTAGTTCTTCCTATCAAATCATTGTGTTATTCCACCAAGGTTGTGTGATGGGGATGAGGGGGAGGGCGGCTTCGTAAAAGGCACCTGGGACTCCCACTACTAGCATTCCTTTGAGAAAAATTAGAAATCTTTAGGAAAGGGGGAAGGAAAAAGGGGGCAGAGTCCAGCCGAAGAGCCGACCTCAAAGAACCATTTCGGGGTATTTCTTTTCTCTTCACTGCTTGGGAACTGCCTTCAGTTCACCCACCACTTCCGAAGTGGCTTCACTTCTAAGGGGAGAGGCCAACGTCCCAACAGAGGGTCTCTCACTTCTTTCCGCCATTTGTTAAATGGCTCCATAAATTAGTTGTTTTACATAAAATTTGGAACTACGATCTGGGAGGCCTAGGGGCTGCACCACCAGTAAGTCGCTGACTCAACCTGGGCCCTTTAACCCCCAAACCCAAACTCTTTCCTGGATTGATGGAACCGCTGGCCCCAACCTAAAAGCCTCCTCCACCGCCAAAAGTCAGGAAGGGTTGGTCCTTTTGTTTTTCAAATGAATTGAAATTAGATCCACAGCCCCGCGTAATGCTGGGGAATACTCAGGGAGAGGCCAGCTTCCAGGAGGTCAACCCCAACACCGCGGGCAGGAATTTGGAGGGATGGGGAGGTCTCCTCATCTCTGAGCCTTGAGCACCAGGCCTGAATTTTCTCCTCTTTCTCACAGGTGCCCGACTCGGAGGCCGGGAGGCGGGCGCTCTTCCCAGGTACCCAGCCCAGCGCGGCGCGTCAGCGTGGGACCATCCTCCGCCACCCCACAGCGCGGGGAGCAGGGGAGGCTGAGAGCCGGGCAGCGTGGGGGGACGGGAGAACCTGGGCTGCAGCATCCCCCGGAGGCAGCAGAACAGGACGGCTGGCGTCGGACGCATTGCAGAGACGTCCCTGTTTTCGGCTTGTCCCCAGACAGCCGGCAGACAGCTTGGCTCCCTCCGCACTGCGCTCCCGAGACCACAGCGCGGAGAAACCTTGCAGGGCCCCGGACTCCCAGGCTTGGGAAAAGCGATGACTGCCCGGGACGGCTGCGGCGTCCGAGATTTCTAGGGTCCCGACCCTCCCTGGGGTACGCGCGACTTCGGCGCAGATATCAGTCCACTGCCTTCGCGCGTTGAGGGCGCGAGGACTCCGGACGACCCCAGGGCTACTGTCCACGCCCAGCCCCTCGTTCTCCACCGTGCCACCTCCCTCTGCGGCTCTAGCCTGGAGATCTACGGACTTCATTGCGATCTCTTGAGCAGCGTAGTTGCCCTCTAACCTAGCCCCGAGTCCCAGGTAACCTAGGGGCCCCAGCGAGGCGAGTTTCGTTGGGGGAAGATGTCCCCAGGCGAGAAAAGGGGTCGCGCATTGGACGGGGCTCCCAAGCCAGAGCCCTGGGGGCCTTGAGGAGTCGTGGTACCCTCTAGGGAAGTCGGGGCTGCAGGGCCCATGAAATCAGACGAGGCTACGGACTTAGGGTCCCTGCAACCAAGACTGCGAGCGACTGTGGACTCGGGACGGATCGCACAAAGGAGGAAGGGGGAATCAGAGGGGCGTCCGGTTGGGGACGTGTCAGGCCTGGGCGGGGCAGAAAACTGACACCGGGGCGAGGACAAGAATTTCGCTCCTCCAGGGCTGCCAGAGGAGGGGCTCGCCACCGTCACTCTCCTTGGGCTCTGGCCCCGACGGTGTTTAAAGGGCGGAGGGCTGGGCCGGGCTGGTCGCACCCCGGGGCTGCTGGTGGCCAAGCTGGATGGGTCGCCCATGAGCCTCGGTGCGGCACCGCTGGCCCAGACCCGGGCGCGGCTGGACATGGCCACCTACTGCAAAGACCTGGGCCCCTCCTCGGCCCCGCCCGGCCAGGCCCGGGCCACCGCGCACCCCCCGGGCTATGAGCATAGTGATCTGGGCGCAGTGGGCGGGGGCCCGCGCCTGTGGGTGAATGCGCCAGCGCTCAGACCCAAGTCCTACGCTTCAGGTCCCGGGCCCGTGCCGCCCTACGCGGCCCCAGGCTACGGGGCTCCCAGCCCGCTCCTTGGCGCCCCGGGTGGCCTGGCGGGCGCCGACCTCTCCTGGCTGAGCCTCTCCGGCCAGCAGGAGCTGCTGAGGCTGGTGCGGCCGCCCTATTCCTACTCGGCGCTCATCGCCATGGCCATCCAGAGCGCGCCCCTGCGGAGGCTGACTCTCAGCCAGATCTACCAGTACGTGGCTGGCAACTTCCCTTTCTACAAGCGCAGCAAGGCGGGCTGGCAGAACTCCATCCGCCACAACCTGTCGCTCAACGACTGCTTCAAGAAGGTGCCCCGCGACGAGGACGACCCAGGTAACAGCGGCGCGCCGGCTCGCTCCGTCTAGGACTCCCGGTCTTTCCGCCGTGCTGCGTGCACTCGGCGGGTGGCAGCGACCTCGGACAACCTAATTCCTCCCTGCGCGTTGGGGATACCCAGGGGAGAGAGAGAAGGGGGAGATGTGCTTAGCCATGAACAAGTTCTCAGACAGCGACAGTGCCCACAGGCCCGCGTTTACAGTACGGCAGTCCCGGGACTCTCAATCTCTGTGCGCTCCTTCGGAAGAAGAAGCGGGAGAGCCAGCACGCTGGGTGACCTTGGGAGTGACTCAACTTACCTGGGCCTCAGTGCCCTACCCGGTAAAGTGGGGAAGACAGAGCCTACCCCAAGGATAGGCAAAACAAATAGGATGCCCATTTGGGAAGCTCTGGAGCCTCCCTGGGGGCCCGGCGTGGTCTGCGATGTCCTTGGCAGAGAGACTGGCGGAATCCCACGGTTCGCATCCCGCAGGCCTTCCTTCACCTTAGCGGGTCTCGGGCCTTTCCCAAGGCTCCCTTCCTCCTCCTTTCTGGATTGCCACTTTCTTCCCAGTCCGGCTGTGGAGGCCCATTGGATACACAGTGCCCGTCAAGGGTGGGATGGGGGCGAGGGCTCAGACCCTCTGCAAGAGCCAGCGGGGAATCTTTCTGAAGCTGACCTCCTCGCTCTCTCACACCACGGGTCCGTCAAAGCTCGAACTTTCTGAACTGGGCTGTTTCTTCTTCTGCAGGTAAAGGCAATTACTGGACCCTGGACCCCAACTGCGAGAAGATGTTTGACAACGGGAACTTCCGAAGGAAGAGGAAGAGGAGAGCTGAAGCCAGCGCGGCCTCGCCCTCGGGAGCCAGGAGCGAGGGAGAGGCCGAGGCGCCCGCGCTGGAGCCCCCGGGCGCGGCTTGCCGGGACCTGCCGGTTTCGCCCTCTCCATCCGCACCCGAGGCCGCCACCTGCTTCTCCGGTTTCGCCTCGGCTATGAACGCACTGGCGGGCGGCCTTGGCACCTTCCCCGGGGGCCTGGCGGGCGACTTTTCTTTCGGGAGGCCGCCGCCGACGGTCGCCGTCCACGCTTCCCAGACCCTTAGCCCCTCTCCTGGCTTCGCCCCTGGCCACCAGCCCGCGGCCACTGGCTTCCGCGTCAGTCACCTCCTCTACAGCGGGGAAGGGACCGAAGTTTGAAGGGACGCTGGAGGCTAGCCGGGTGCGGTGTCCAAGGGTGCTGAGCTCAGGCCTCCCGTTTCCCCTGGTGACAGCCCCACGTGTTGGCGCCGAAGACCTGGGTGCCCTGGGAGGACGCGCAGAGCCGGGGGGCGGCTTGGCCAGCAGGGAGCTGGGCTGAGCGGCTCTTGGGCCTCGGGGTGGGTGGCCGTCTGCTGTGCACCCCTCACCCAGGCGACCTTCAGAGCTTCCCTGCTCTGCCTCTAAGTCCATCCCTCCTGGGCCTCCAGAACCTGTGCTCTCCAGGGATTTGCCTTGAAGGGGCGGCGCGGTTGGCGCTCAGCTCCAACGTTTCCCAAGCAGGCTGGCTGACTCCAAAGAGCCTTGGAGCAGGTGGGAGGAAAGTGGGCTGCCAGAGCGGCCCGGGGGTGGGGGCCCTTTCCACCTCCACCCAGCTTGGGTCACCTGGCTCAGGGCCTTCCGTCCTGCTTCAGGGAGGCTGCTGCAGGGGCTGGAGGACAGAGCTCAGGAGCAGCCACAGTGGTGGGGTCCAGGTGGGCCAGGAGCCTGCAGTGAGGGGATCTGAGACTTTTGGGATCGGGTCCTGTGTAAGGAAGGTCTTGCTAAGGGCTGAAACTGCCGGTGGTGGGAGGGAGAAGGGCTGCCTGGGCAGAAAACGCCCTTGGGATACCAGCTCCCTCCCCTGTCACTCAGCTCTGGTCCTCGGTGACCCCCCTGTAGGACAAGGCAACTCCCCAGGGCCCCATCATCACTGACCACAGGAGCGGTGCCCAGCACCCAGGAGTTCCCCGAGGGTCCAGGTTTGTGCCACCCCATCCACACTCACGCTCACACAGGCTCATGAAAGGGCACACCTGTTTTGGTCTCTTTCCCCTCCAAACCCACAGTATGGGTCAAAGCTGCGCCTATGTTCAGAGCTCCTGAATAGCAGCTTGTGTAAATTGAACCCTGCCCCACCCGGTTCGTTCTTAGACATGGTATCTTTGTGAAGCACAAGGAGCCCCCAGTCACTGGGAAGAGGAATTTTGGCCTCTGTACTCCTCAGAAGTCCTAAGTGCCCCAGTCAGATGCCCTGAGTTGTTGTGGCATCTGGGACTCCCTGGAGACGGGCACGTTGGTGGGGGGTACCCATCTTGTTGTTGATGGGGGGCACCCATCTTCCCTGCATTTTGGGGGAGGATGGGAGGGGGCGTTCCCAGGAAGAGAGTGGAGAGAGGATACTGTTAGTTTGGAGTAGGACAGCTGGTTTAGCAACCCTAAGCCCCAGCCACACAGGTGTTCCTAAGACACAGGTATTCCTAACACACAGGTATTCCTAACACACAGGTGTTCCTAAGCTGCCCGCAGCGCCCCACACTGCTGCTGCCACCAGTGCTGGAAATGAGAGCAGCGCACCTGTCTGTCCCTAGAGCTGACTCATCATGGCCCTGCTGAAGAGTGAGGGGTGTGTGCGTGTGTGTGTGTGTGTGTGTAAGACAAGAGAGGGAGGGAGAAGGAGGGAGGCAGGGGAACATGGAGAGAAGGAGCCAGGAGTTGGGATAAACCTGGTGCCTGGTCATGTGTTTCATCAGCAGTGGCTCCTAACTCCGTGTAGCATCTATGCTGCTGCCCCCTATAGGCAGGTGAGCAGAGCGCCAGTTGTGTCGAAGGTGATGATGTTGGCTAACCAAACTCACAACCAACCCACAATCTCTCTTAGGGGGACACTCCCCATATGTAATATAGTTAAAGAAGGCCAGGAAAGGAAAAGAAATTCCTTAGCTTATACATTTTAAAAATTATATCTTGAACTTATTTTAATAGAATAAAATGCTAAAAATAAAGACCAATATACGTAGCTTGCATGTGTATGCTATTTTGTATAAGAATTCCACTGCTGTCACCAACATCAGAGTCTGAACTTGCAGGAAACTTGGAAAGAACATTTTCTGTTTAAATTTGACAACAATCAGAAAATACAGTGGACAACTGGACAATCAGTGGAGCTTCAAGAAAACTGGCTGACACGTATGGATGTAAACATGGAACGGCATGGCTGCATGACTGCTAGACATTGGGAAGCTGCTTTTTTTTTCTTTCTAACAATGGTTTTTATGCTAAAATTGGGAAAAAAAATATTCAAGATTTTTCAACTTTTGGTTTGTTTGCCCAAAGATCATTTTTTCCCCTTTGAAAGTTGCTCATTTATTCAAAGCTTTATACCATTAGTAGGTAATAATATAAGCAAATAGATGAAATCTTCATGAGAAAAGCTGGGTTAAAAACACTTCCAGCAGTGCAAGGTATTTGGACATGGGTGGGGTTAGATGCCAAACAGAACCCATTCTCCCCCCCAAAAACAGCCCATATGCCTGGATGTGTTTAGGAGATGGGAAGCCAGGCCAAAATGCATTTCACAGGCCCAGGCATGGCACAGTCAGCTTCAGACTCATTATCCCAAAGAAGCATTTTCTCATAGCAAAGAAATGGTTGAAATCAAAACAAGAAAACAGAGCAATGCAGCTTGTGGTCACTTTATGGTTAAATACTTTCTTCTGGCCAGGGCTTGGTGAACTTGACCACAGTCCCTAGAGCTCACTGCACGCAGGCAGCAGAAGGACCGGGTCCTGTCGGTCAGGCCAGGGCACTGCTGCCAGGAGGCTAGGAGGGTGCTCTGACCCCGGGGCTCTGAGTCCACTGTGGCACTCAGACCCCATCTGCTCCCCTGCCCTGTCCCTTTTTTTTTCCTTTCTTTTTTTTGCCTTTGAAATCATGAATCCTGCAGCCAATTCCAAAAGTAATTGTGAGACTTCAACAAAAGGAATACCTCTGCATCATGGCATAGACACATGGCAGTATGCTATTGGAATATCCAAGTTTTAGTATGAATGAACAGCTTGGTGGCACTGAATAGTTTCAAATATAGAAGCAAGCTTCAAAATTCAGAAGTGAAAGACAATTAAAACATGCCAAAATATCGGGTGATTAGGAATTCTTTGCATTGCCAAGCAGCAGTGGAATTTCCTAGTGACTGAAAATCAGAGAGAATAATAATACACGAAACTGTAATCTGCCCTAGAAACATTTGGCCACTGGGTAAATTATCCCCATACAAAGAAGAACCATTCATGAAGAAGATTCATTTGTTAGAAATGTTTTTTAAAGTGCCATAGTGTTTTAAAAGTGAACATTGGACTTCAAGATAGGGGTGCCCATTTCACATACTGATTAAACACAGAGTATGTTTATTTCTGATGAAAAAGTTTTGCATTTTAGCAATGCTGCCTTAGGATATTAATCAACCTTCAATCTTTAGTCTCCTAAAATGTATCCGCTGGTCAAGTGACATTTTTCATTCAAAGAAATACCATTATAGTGACTATTAGAACTCTTCAGTGAAACAGAACACTGAAGTTCATCCCCATTTTGCAGATAGAAAAGCCAAGTCAAGGAGCTAAATGATCTCCAGAAGCTAAACTGATGAGAGCTAAAAGGGACTCCAGATGTACCTGCAACCTTTACATGCCTCATATTCAGAAATGCATCTACTGATGGACACACACACCCACCCTCACACACACACACACACACACCCACCCCACCCACGGAGCCCCGTCTTGGGTAGGATTTTCACAGATTACACCAACCACCCTCCATACCTAAAGGCATAGTATTTTCAAATAACCCATTGAGTTCAGGATTTGACTCCAGGTAGGAGAGAAACATGTGAAACCACCATAGAATGCAATAGGGGTTGAGTCACTTGTATCCTAATAAAATGTGACTTATTCAATCTATCTCTTTTGAGTGTTAATTATGTGGTATTAAGTCATGCAGTAAATAAGCTGAGCCTGTTGCTACCCTCACAGAGCCCCCATCCAGTGGTCGAAACAAAGATGAGTGAAGAATTACAGGCTGGACATGGCTTTGTGGCTCTGTAAGGATTACTTATAGATGATCAAGTCATCAACCATCTCACTTGTAAACACAAGTATCATATTATGTCTTGTACGCAGACCCCAGTGTGTTCCACACCCTGCTAACTCAGGAAGTGTTTGATTTCTCAGTTTCATAACTTCACTGTGATTTTAGGCAGGGAGTTAAGCACTGCCCCGGGCTGGTGTAGGTCCCATCTGTTCCCTTTTCCACAGTGTCATTTAGGAACCTTAAAACCTGTCCTCATATTAGAAGATCTGTCATTTGGCAGTGACAGGGGAGGCAATTAATGTGGCCAGAGTTGGCCGTTCCCCAGGGCTTCTGCGTGTGCAGTCCTATGGTGCATCTCCCATCTATAAGGTAAAGTTTTTAGAGTTCTTTTTCTTTTAATCTAATTTGAATTTGCTAACCAACGTTATTCGGGGCTAACTGCTGGGTACCTGCAATAAACTGCTTTCTTTGGTCAGATTTCATCAGTGGCTGAACACAAAGAATGGAAAATATCTTTAGTTTCACCCATTTCATGGAGGGCAATAAATAGTATATTAAATTGGACCTTCACCAAGAAAAGAAAGAAAGAAAAGAAAATTGGAGTTGCGTCCCTCCTGTAATCTAGAGCAAATTAAACTTATAAATCATGGAGTCTTTCTCTACCCCTAAGAGTCGCCCATTCATCCACCAGACAGATTGAAGGTCAAGGAAGGTGTCAGGGACTCTGTTAGATGCTTCCTGTGCATTTTTCATTAAGCCTTCACAACAACCTAGTGATTTCCCTATTATTATCCCCATTTTACTTATGGGGAAACTGAGGCTCAGACCAGTTAAGTGTCTTGTTTCTCAGAGGCCACAGATATTGAGCTACATCAGTAGGAGCCTTCCTACCCTCTATTCCTGACTTTTCTGCTTCTCACTTCATCCCTTAGGTCCTAGAGAGACCTCACTTTTCCAGACTCCTTCTGACAATCCAGGTCCAAGTTCTGTGCCCTTTGGTGTGTTCTTGGGGGCCCTGGATGGATTGCATCACACCCGCAGAAGACCGAGTACCTTCCTGCCTCTTCTGTGGTTTCTGTGGGAAGAGACCGGCC